AAACAAGATGTCCTGACTAAAGGTCAGAGAATTCCTGCTCCTTCAAGGATAAGACAGGAGGTTTGGCTACCTACACAAAACTTGGCTGCATGTCCTGCCTAAAACATTGGAATGCTTAACTGGGGAAATAGCGGCTTGATGTCTCAAATACTGAAGCAAGTAACTGTTCTGCTTGTCCTCGTGCCGTGTCAAAGCAGTCTTTGCCTCCAACACTTTTTGGATTGGGGTGTATAAGCGGATAGAAACTAAACACGGCTGGAGGGATGGCTCAGGCGTGAAAGGCAGTGGACAGCCCTCCCTGTTCTACCTATGTCTGTATTCTTTCATACCTCTGTTCCTCCTAACTAACACTTCTAATCCAAACGCCCCTACTCTGGAACGTGTGAATCCCATCGAGGCTGGATTCTGACAGATGTCACGCCAACGAGTGGACTATGACACTAAGGCTGGACAGACAAACCCACCAGGACAGACACTACTCACGGCAGGACAGGCTGCAGTACTCTCCTGTGCCCCTAAGGTGCCTTGTGCTTCTACCTTCCCGAGATGGGGAATGAGCTGGTTAGTCAGGAGACAAAGGGAAGGATGAAGGGACAGGACAGGGAAGAGTGTCCACCTTTGCCCTCCCCAGCATCAGGTCCCCGAGCAGCTGTGATGCCCTGCCGGTCTGGTCATCATGTCTGACTCATGGCACCTAGAGCAGAGAAATCGGAAGATGGAGTCTGCCTTCCCTCCACAATGCACACTTTAGCAACCCAACACCCCAGCGCTTCGGAACCAGCCGTCCACGGCACCTTCAGGGACTCTGACAGCAGACAGGAAAGCACAGGTGAATGTAGCCTCAAAATATACTGAAGCTTAAGTAGCTGTTTAAAGAAAGTTACTTCAGTGGGTAAAGTGCTTGCTGCCAGGCCTGGGTTCAACCCCAGACCCCATGGCAAAAGAAAAGAACTGACCCTGACCCTCAAAAGTTGTCCTCTGGGGCTGGAGAGATGACCCAGTGGTTAAGAGCATCGACTGCTCTTCAGAGGACCTGGGTTCAATTCCCAGCACCCACATGGCAGCCCACAACTGTCTGTAATTCCCGTTCCAGGGGACCCAACACCCATGGCAAAAAAAAACACCGATGTACAGAAAACAAGAATAAATTTTTAAAAAGAGAAAGGAAGGGTCTGGAATAAGCATAATAGTAGACTCTTTTAAAAAAGTTGTACTCTAGGGCTGGAGAGATGGCTCAGCGGTTAAGAGCACTGACTGCTCTTCCAGAGGTCCTGAGTTCAATTCCCAGCAACCACATGGTGGCTCACAGCCATCTATAATGAGATCTGGCGCCCCCTTCTGGCACACAGGCACACATGGAAGGAATGTTGTACACATAATAAATAAATAAATAAATAAATAAATAAATATTAAAAAAAATATTAAAAAAAAAGTTGTACTCTAACTTCTACATGTGCAGGGTGGCACATACACACCTGCAGGCACGTGCACACGCATATACACTCCATATACACTTACACACAATGATAACGTTGAAAAAGGGAGATGGCTCAATGGGTAAAACACCTGCCACTCAAGCATGAGGACCTGAGTTCAGATCCCAGAATGCCCACAGCCACCTGCACCTAACAATCCCCGCACCAGGCAAGTGGAAAGAAGCAGATCCCTGGAGTGCACTGGCAGCCAGCCAAGAGGTGAGCTCCAGATGCAGGGAGAGATCCTATCTGGAAAAGTTAAGACAGAGTGACTGAAGGAGACACACTGAAGCCTGGTCTCGAGTCACACTCACACACACACACACACACCCCAACACATATACACCAATGGGTTGTTAAAAAAAAAAAAAAACACACAGCTTAGGAGCTAAGGAGATGGCTCAGCAGTTGAGAGCACTTGCTGATCTTGCAGAGGACCTGGGTTCAGTACCCAGGACTTAGATGGTGGCTCGTAGCTCCAGTTCTAGGGGACCCAATACCCTCTTCTGACCTCTGTGGGCACCAAGCCTGCAGACAAGAAAGCAAAGAGCAGACATACACAGGAAGAAATGAGTTTGCCTGAGAGTGATGCTATCAGGTTTTCTAGTTTACAGAGCTGTCAAACAACTCAAAGACAATGGACTGAGACACTAGCTACAGCCTGGAAGCAGGGCAGGAACTTCCTCAGCCATGGAACAAGCCTCTGTCATAGAGCCACTGGTCCCAGAGCTAGAACACACAGGGAGGGAGGCTCCTGCAGCCTTTGGAAGAGCACAAGGTGAACTTTACACTGTGATCCTTGGAAAACCACTGTGAAGTCCCAGTTCTTCCTAGTCAGGCCAAGAACCACCCTTCCCCCAGGACCAGCTGAGATCACAGGCACAGCTCCACCCCCACCTCCACCCTGGTCAGCACTAAGCCAGGTTTGGCAGGCACTCCAAATCCCCATTCTTTGTCCCAAAAGGCTGAATTGGGTTCTCAAGTGCCAAGTAGAGCTAAGGCCTGATTCCTGACTGGACTGTAGAGCAGCTACTCTCCCCCCATCCTCCTGAGCATCCTCTACCCTACCTTCTGAGGTTCTGTGGGAGCCTGCCCCTACATCCCGCCCTCTCTTCTAGCCCCAGTCATTCCTACAAAGCAAAGCCCTTTCCGCCTGACCAGAGACAGTCGCAGAGCCCATGCCCTCCTCCTTGGTACAGTCACCTGTCAGAGAACCTCCCCTCCCATCTTGGCACAACATGGCATTTCTGCCAGGCCAGACTTTATGGGGACGCACCAGAAACACTGTGAATTATAGTGTCATACAGAGATTTCATCAGGTAAAAACATCTTAACTTAAAGGCTCCTTGGAGAAGAGGAAAAATCTTGAGAAAGCTAGTCTACAGCCAGTGGCCTAGCAATAATGAGAAGCCTCCTGTTCCCCACAAGCATGGCTTCCCACCCCAACTGGACTCTTCCACCAGCCTCCCCACGTGCCCCCTATTTTAATCCGTGCTTTATTAGGCTCTCTGCAGACAGTTTGCCTGCCTCGTTCTGGGTGTCACACTGAGCCGCATTCTCAGCAAGCAATTTTACCCACTAAGCCATCTCCCCAGCAATAGCTATGTAGCCCAGACTGGCCATAAACTCTCCGTAGCTGCACCCCCAACCTTATCCCCCTCTCTTTCTGTGTCTCACTGTGTGGTCCAGGCTGCTCTGATCTCACTACACAGACCAGGCTGGGCGTTAGGAGCACACGGTGTTGTGCTCGCTTATCTTTACAGACAGGAGAGAAGGGAACAATCTGTGTGTACAGATACTTAGTGCAAAGGTAACATGCAGGGCTGAAATCGCACGGCCAGGGAGGGCAGAGACACAGAGAGCAATCGTCTGACATGAAGTTTCTCTTTGGGACTCTCAAGTAATTTCAGAGTTGGGAGAGGGGTGGCAGCAAGGGCAGCCAATGGCAGCTACTGGTTGCACAGGTGGGTTCTGCAGCCCCCAATGCTCGCTGTCCCTGGCTCTAAGAAGCTGTGGGGGCCTCACCCATTTGTGGATGAGGTCCACAGGGGAGAGGAGCAGCTGATTAGAGCTTTAAGAAGAGATTCCAACTTTAAAAACTTGGGAGGTGGCCAGGTGTGGTGGAGCATACCTTTAATTCCAGCATGCAGGGGGCCAAGGGAGGAAGATCTCAGTGAGTTCGAGGCCCACTTAGTCTATCTATGTAGCAACAGTTAAGTGCATGCCTAGCACCAGGCAGAGACAGGCAGATCTATTTCAGTCCTAGGCCAGCCTGGTCTATGTAGTGAATTCCAGAATAGCCAGGGCTATATAATATAGTAAGGACCCACTTTACGGGAAAAGAATGAATGAATAAACTTAACCAGAGTCAACTTAGAAGGTTCACGAAGTAAAGGCATGTGTGGCCACACCTGAGAACTGAGTTCCATCCCTGGGACCCACTAAGAAAACTCTCTTCCACAAATAGTCCTTGAATCCCGAGTTCCATCCCTGGGACCCACACAGTGGAAGAAGAAAACTCTCTTTCACAAATGGTTCTTGAATGTACATGCACGCGCTATGGCACTGGGGCAAAGGCGCAAACACACACGAATAAATCAAAGTAAAAAGTTTTAAGTACTTAAAGAGGATGCCTTTTAAACATATTTAATTCTCTCGGAAATAAACTCGCATGGAATGTGGAAGTGCTTCCATTTTCTCCCAAGTGGCCAAGCTTTGCGGAGCTCAGAACTCCGAAGACTGCAAACTACCTGGCACCGCACCTGCACAAGCAGGTGAAGGTGACTCCCTCGCCCTCGCCCCCAAAGACCCACTCCAGACCCGCACTCGCGCGCAGCCCACAGGGCGGCCGCCCCACCGCCCCTGGCTCTGCACCGCGCAGCCAATGACCGCCGAGGAAAAGAAACCGCCCCACGGACGACGGGGACAGCTGGACGGGAGCCGCGGCCGAGCGCCCCGCGGGCGGAGGCGGGAGACGCCCAGGCTCTGGCTCTGGACGCGGGCTAGGACGCACCTCCTTGTCCGGGACCCACTGCGGCTCCTCCAAGCCGAACGGGCTTCCGAAGGCGCGGTGCTCCGGCACCATGCGCAGGCCGCTGGGCGAGCGCACAAGCTTCTTGGCGTCGCGACGCGCGGCCACCCCCGAGGACATGTCTCCGCCGGAGCCCCTCACGCCACCGCCCGCGCCGAGCCCAGAAAGGGCGCCACCCCGCCCCGCCCGCCGGCGCGATGACAGCGCCGGAGCCCAATCCGCAACCGCAGCGCGGAACGCGAGCCAATCGGAGAGTGGTATCCTCCCCAGTACCGCCCTTCTCCAATCAGCTCAAAGTTCCCGCCCCTGCTGCCGCCCACCAATCGGCGGTGAGGGCCGGGGGGCGCCTTCTGCCCCACTCGAGGAGCTTGCTACTTCGGATTGGCTGATTAATCAGCCACGTCGCCTCCTCTTCGCTTCTGCTGGGTGTGGCAGACTCGGACTCCAGCCGTTCATTGGAGGAGAAACTTGGGGTGGGCGGGGTTTCCGGAGCGGGCGGAGCGCGCGGGAGATCTCGCAAGGCAGCTGAGCCGGCAGGAGAACCGACCCGCGACCGGCCCGACGTGGGGCTACGAAGGAGGGCTGAGGTGGGTCCGCGGGTTTCAGAGAACGATCTTCCCCGGCGGGGCGCCCCTTCAGGCCCGAGGCGGGGTTCGGGGGAATGGAACCCAGAGTCCCGACCCTTCCCGCGAGCGCCTCCACGAACAGCATTAGGCGGAGCCGTCTCTGCAGCCCCCTCCTGGTGGTGGTCTTAAGAAAGGAAATGTCTCTGTGCTGTGCGTGTAGCCTAGGCTGGCCGGGCACGACCTCAGCCTTCCTGGTACTCCTACAGGAGTGAGCCACCACCGCGCGCACCTAACCTCTGGTGTCAGGGTAGTTTACCTCGCTTCCAGAACAGCGCCGGGAGCTTTGCTCACTCCCTCACAGCCTGCTCCCCAGTTGGAGGAACAGGCTGGTGTAGCCCTACGTCGCCAGGAGACAGGAAGGCAGGGAGCCAAGTGGAGCGTAGAGCTCCGTGTCTGGGACAGGGGGCCTCGGTGTTGAAGTCTAAGTTGCTCGGTGGGACTTTGTAGAGCAAGGCAGGCCTGGCTGCCTCAAGGCCTTGGCAGTTGCTGATGCATGGCCAGAACCTGGCCTATCTATGTCCCTTGTTGAGCCTCCACTAGCTTGCTGTCAGCCCAAGCCCTGTGATGGCTCTGGTTCACCACCGGACTGGGTTAGCTGATGGCCTGGGAAACCTTTGAGTTCTGGTGCCAGGAGCTTCCTGTCCTCCGCAGGAGGCATGTTCTTAAGCCCCGCAGCTGCCTGGTGGAATGCTATGGCCAGGCTTGCTCCAGTCTCTTGACCTTCCTAATGCTACGATTGCCAGGCTTTAGAGTTCTCTCTGGAAAGTGACTCTTGCCCACACTGCATCCTAAGCCTGTGGTGCCTACAACTGGAGACTGGGCTGTTTTTAAAGTGCTATGATTCATACAGGATGCTGATCCAACATTCAGCTGTACCTCAGCTACTGACCTTAGCACCCCCCACAGGTGTATGTGTGTGTTGTACACACATGTATGTGTATATATATATGCCTATTTGGATGTGTACTGATGTGTGGAAGCCAGAAGCTGATGTCCGGTGTATTCCTCCATCACTCGCCTTAAATATTGAGGCAGGGTCTCACTTGAATCCCAAGTTCACAGATCAACTAATCAGCCTGCTCTGAGGATGCCCTGTCACTGCCTTCTTAGTGTTGCGAATACTGGCAGGCCACCAGGCCCGCCCAGCGCTGGATCTCCCCATCCTTGGATTGCACAGCAAGCTTGACACCCCCTGCACACACACACACACGCACACACGCACACATGCACACACACACAAACCACTTCTTGGTGTTGTCGTTTGAACTGATGCATGAGATTGCGCTGTACTTCCACGGCTGTTTTAATTTTCTCTGACTCGGTATTTAATCTGAGAAGTGGGGGCTGAGGGCGTGGGGAGTGGGGTGGAGAAAAAGAACTGCAAGCAAGCAAGTACTGTTGGATGCATCCTTTGTAACAGTGCCTGATCCTAGCATAGCCAGCCCCAGTAGGAGGTAAGAGGCCTAGTGCTGTCCTCCCCAGGTCCCTTCCTGGGAGGGTCTCCAAGTGTTTTCTACCCCTTCTGTTATTCTCTGACAAGGTGTGGTTTCCCCAGCATCCTTCAGAATTCCAATGCACATAAGGTTAGAAAATACTGAGTGAGACCCATGCATGGAGACCTGGACCCATAAATGCCCCAACAAGTTAAGTGAGTGCAGGATGCACCAGCTAGCTTTCTTTCCCAACTGAGCCTCAGGCACAGAATGACAGGGACAGCTGGATTTGTTCTGTGTCAACTCTGGAGTGAGCGTCGGCTTCCAAACTGCCCAGTCCTTCTGAGAGTGATTCTGAGAGCAAATTCATGTCATCCTGGGCTTTCATGGGTAGTGCTCCCGAGACAGTGGCAGCTGTCCTCTGCCCTCCAAGTGTCACTTTCTAACATGCCTGCTCCCACAGGTAGTCCAAGTCGACAGCAAGCACGTTGAAATGTGTTGCTATCGCTGTGTCTCTGGAAGTTCTTCGTGCTCGTGGTGAACCCAGTGAGGAAATGGACTTGGATCAACTGGACCTAAACCCCAGAATTACTGCTGCAGTTAAGAAGGGTATGTTGTATGAAGTAGCTAGCTATCATGTGTGCTCTGAGTAAAACAAGCTGCAGAAAGCTACTACCCCTGTCCGTGTGCCACCCCCACCCAGTGGTCTTCTTCTTTTCAGGGAGGGTCTCAGATCTTTTAGCTCTGCCTGTGGGCTACTCTGTCTCGTGAGCAACACGTTCTGCACCTGCGTCCCTGAAGCGCTGTGGCTGCTGTGAAGCCACCCTGGCTGCATCTTCATGGCAGCTTTCTGCCACTGTAGGAACTGGTTTGACACACCTGCAGTTATTTTTTTCTCTTTCTTCTGTCTTCCTTTTTAACTGCAACAGGCTGTCACTGTATGGCCCTGGCTGGCCTGGAACTCACAGAGATCCTTCTGCCTCTGCCTCCCAGTGCTGGAATTAATATTTTCTTCATTCAACAGGTTTGAAAATAAAGAAACTCATTTCTTTCCCCTCCTCCCCAAGCAGCAGGCCCTTGGTTCATTAGTAGTAAGGCGCCCTTCACTTCCTGCCCCGTCCTGGCCTGTCTGCCTCCAAGTTCTGCTTTCCCTCCAGCCTCTTGTGTACCCGAGCCTGGCTTGGTGGTGCAGACACTTTCACACTGACTTTCACACTATCCCTTCTCTGTTTGTCAATGTCAGGGCTTCGAGCTTGGTCAACGAGACCCCCCACCAACTCCACTCACACTTTTTGTTTTGCTTTTAAAAAACAGGGTCTTGCTGTGTGGCTCAACCTGACCTTGAACTCCTTGACTTCAGTGACCCTCCTGCCTCAGCCTCCCAAGAAGCTGGGACAATGGACAAAGAGTGGGACAGGTTGACAGTCACATTCTCATAGCACACAGGGTTTGCACTCATCTCTGGTTCCTGCTGCTGCTGACATGAGAGTCAGGGCCAGGTCACAAGGGCACAGCAGCAGGCCCTTCAGCAGGCTCCTCCTTCCTTCTCCACCCACTAGTTACACTACCCAAGATTTTCTGGGTGAATCCAGGTGTCCCCAGAGCTGGTGGCCCAGCTCTCCCCTCACCTCCCACCCTTGCTGAGTGTCCTGACTTATTGTGGTCCATTTTTTCTCTGGTTTATCTGTGTGACTTCAGGTAGATTGAAGTCGGTGAAGGAGGTTCTGTGCTACTCGGGACCAGATTTGCAGAGGCTCACCAGCCTGCCCACCCACGACGTGCAGCATCTGCTGAGAGCGGCCGCTCTGCACCTTCAGGGCAACCGTGTCCTTACAGGTGGGCAGGAAAGCATCTACAGGGTGATGGGTGGACCACCCCATCGGCTCCAGACTCTGTGTTGGGAATGACGTCACAGCACTGCCCTAGCCCATCAGCCTCCCCTAGGAGAGTGCGAGCGACTTGTCCAGGGCCCACAGAGAAGAGCCCATAGCACAACGCACTGAGCAGTGGGCCCTCACAGCAAAGGACAAAGTCAGGGTCCCAGTGGTATGGCAGGGGCAGCTGTGAGAGGCCCTGCCACTTCAGGACATGGCATCCACGTGACGGCTTTGCCTCACTGATGTCTGACTAACCTGATGCCACAGGCTGCTGCTCCTCGTTTGTTCTTCTTGCTGAAGCTGTCCAGAACTAGACAGGCCCAGAAAGTCAGCTGAGCGTACCCTGTACACCCTGGAGCTTAGGGTTCCTCCTTTCCTTTTTCCTTTCTTCCTTTTTTTCTTTCTTCCTTCCTTTTTTCCTTCTCTCTCTCTTTCTTTCTTAAAAACAGGGTCTCTATCATTCTGACTGTTCTGTGTAGCTCAGGCTAGCCTCAAACTCATGGAGACGCCTCTGCCTCCCAATTGCTAGGGTTTGGATTTAGCAGCTTGTGCCCACTAGGGAAGGGCCATTTCTTAGAATACGTGTGGCATCCTGGGAAGTGTGACGGGGACAAACTCTTATATATGCACTGTACTCAGCTGCACAGTCGGCCTACCTTCTGACCTCAGCACCCGGCCTACGTGCTTAGCCAGTCCTCATGCTGCATCTGAAGCCAACACTTTCTGAATGGCCGCAGGCTCACAGGCCCGCAGGCCAGACGGAAAGCACGGCTGATCCTGTGCTCCCTGCAGCATTGCAGCTGTTCCAGCAGAGGGAGCGCTTCCCTGAGCAGCATCAACGCCTGAGCCTGGGCTGCCCTGTCCTGGATCAGTTCCTTGGTGGCGGCTTGCCCCTGGAGGGCATCACTGACCTGGCTGGCCGCAGCTCGGCAGGGAAGACCCAGCTGGCGCTACAGCTTTGCCTGACTGTACAATTCCCACGGCAATATGGAGGCCTGGAGGCGGGTGAGTGGCTGCCCCTTCCTGGGAGTGTAGGGTAAGTGTAGGGTCCAAGGCAGGTGGCACTCAGGCCCCCTGCTTGGGGCTATTTTCCTCTCAGGGAGGCATGGCTGTCTCCTGGGTAGTCTTCCATGACTCTTTCTTCTAGAAGATTAGTGGAAGGTGAAGCTGTACTCAGGCTGTGGGAAGGAAGCAGGGGCACCAGCTGACCCTGCAGTTGTCACACAGCTTCAGCGGGGCACCTCACCCCTGCATCAGGCCCACAGCCACAGAGGTGGGGCAGAGAACATGTGGCATTTTCAGAATGTGCATGGCTCTGACCCAGGGCGACTCCCCAGACCGCCTGCCTGGGTCCTCTGTGGGCTGATGGTCAGAGCTACCTGCAAAACAAGCCACGTCTCTGCCATTTGTGCCCAAGATAGGGAGCAGGGTTAGGGAGACCGAGTTGACTCCCGAACTTTGCCCCTTTCTGCACCAGCTGGGGCCTTGCCACACCACCACTTCACTTCACGTTGGCTTCTGTCCTAAAAGCCATGGCTGAAGGAAGGCTCCAGTTTCCCTGTCCTATCACAGCTTGTCTTGTACAGCAGCTGCTCCTGAAGTAGCGTCAGTGCCGGTGCCCCACCAGCATTTCTGAGTCTGTAGCGGTGTGGTATGAGCCTCTGATGTGCCTTCTTCCAGGACATACCTGGTAGACCCAGAGCCATATCAAAATATCTCTTGCTTACAGTCTTAAAAACCATCATCCAGCTGTGGTTCTTCACACCTGTAACCCTAGCCCTCATGAGGCAGGGGCAGGAAGATCAATGCAAGTTGGAGGCCAGCCTGACTCCACAGTGAGTCTGGCCTGGGGAGTGAGACCTTACCTTAACAGAAATATTGAAATATTTTTATTTGCATTCAGAATATTGTCAGCTATGCTTCTTCCTTTTGTGGATGATCTTTGGTTTGGTTTGGTTTTTCGAGACAGAGTTTTTCTCTGTACCCCTGGCTGTCCTGGAACTCACTCTTTAGAGCAGGCTGGCCTCGAACTTACTGAGATCTGTCTGCCTCTGCCTCTCGAGTGCTGGAATTAAAGCTATGTTGCCACTAACACCACCTAGGTGATCTTTGCTATTCTAAGTCCTTTGAAACATGAATGGTGTTCATCTTATGAAAAACACTTCTTTATCATCTGTGGTTTGATGTCTTCAGCAAGCCACTGGCATCTTTCTCCTAAGAGTTCTAGAACTCAGCCCATGGATTCCAAGAGTCCCAGTATCGTCTATGGGAAAGACTTCTCGGCTGAGGCACTGGCATCTCTGTTGAGAGCCTATGCCCAAAAGCACAGGGTTTCCAGCTAGTGGCCCAGCTCTTTTCAGCTGCAGGATCTGGGTGGCCTTCGGACCGCTTGTGTTCCAGGTGAGCAGGTGCTCATGCCTGGTCATGCACTCTTCCACTTACCTCTGGCATCTCCAAGAAACAGGCGGGAGTCCGTGAGTTGTCCTGCATTTGAGGAACATGTTTCTAAGTTCCTCTGGTGATCTCTGCCCGGTCCTGCCCAACCCAGCAGGAACTAGAGAGCAGGAATGAGCTAGCAGGATATCCAGGAACAGGGAGTGTACTCGGGTGTCAGGGTAGAGGGTTAGCCTGTGTTCTAAGGGAGCAGCAGGTAGCCGCAGGTGGGCTAAGAACCAAGTCGAGCCCCCTGCCCTTCTGGATGAAAACTTGTAAGAGGCAGAGGCTACATTTGGCTTCGCAGCCACAGGCCCGTTTCCAGTCTTTGTGCACACCAGTGTTCTGGCTTCCCAGGGGCCGTCTACATTTGCACAGAGGATGTCTTCCCCAGCAAGCGGCTGTGGCAGCTCATTGAACAGCAACAGCAGCTGCGGACAGATGTGCCTGGGGAGGTGGTCCAGAAGATCAAGTTCGGCAACCACATCTTCATTGAGCATGCGGCCGATGTGGTGAGTGTCTGTGTCTGCTCATTGAGCATGCGGCCGATGTGGTGAGTGTCTGTGTCTGCTCACAAACGGCCCAGTGACTCAGCCAGTGCAGAGACCAGGCTCAACTCAGAATACACTGTCAGGGTAATCAGGAAGGATGTCCAAAATAAGATCTAGAGGACCAGAAACCCATAGGGCGGAGGTCATGGCAGAAGGGTTCTTCCTAAACCAGTAGCTTTCAACCTTCTGTGGGTCATGACCCTCTGGGTCACACTCCACACAGCAGTTATTACATTAGAACTCACAACTACAGCAAAATTACAGTTATGAGTACAACAAAAACAATTCTATGGTTGGGGGTCACCACAACATGAGGATCTGAAGGGCCGCAGCGTTAGATGTAAACACATTCACCAGGGAGCCTGCTGCCCTGTGCCGTGGGCCAGCATTCTCAGGACCGCTGGCCTTGAGTGTACTATGTAAGTCTGCCCTGGTCCTATCTTTAACCAGCACTATCACTCCTTCCCCAGAGCCTGTCAATCTACCCAGGAAAGAAGGGGGAGGAGGAGCCCTGGGAGTGTAGCCAAGGGGTCCTGAGAACAAGCTTCTGCAGAGCCCTCTCTCCACTGCCTTAGCCTGGGGCTTACCTGCTACTGGAGGTGACCGGGCTGGGCTCTGTCCCCGCAGCAGGAAGCAGAGCCATGCCCAAGACAGTTGCTTAGTTTAGAGAAGCTCTTGTCTTCAGGGATGGGTGACAGATGAGGATCGTTCAGGAGTTCGGAGAAGGGACTAACCCTGTACCCCAAATATGGATGTGGATGACGGGCATGGCAAGCACCCTTGGCGTGCCCACCTGGGGCATCGCTGGCTAGGGAGTGTTCTGAGAGGGTGGCAAGCTGGCTCAACCAACTCCAAAACTGTCCTCCGTATGCTCACCAATTGGTGTGCACACAGGTCACTCACATGCACGATAATAAAACATTTTAATTTTTTAAAAACAGTTGCTGGGTGGTGGCACACCTTTAATCCTAGTGCTCAGGAGGCAGAGACAGGCAGATCTCTGAGTTTGAGGCCAACCTGGTCTACAGACAAAGTTCCAAGACAGCCAGGGCTACACAGAGAAACTTTGTCTTAAAAAGAATGGGGGGGGGGGAGGTTATAGTTAGGAACAGACATTCATTCTGGTAAATGGAAGGGATATAAACTTTTAATTTTAAAAAAATGTACAATAAAAATACATTATTACACACAACAGAGAACTAAACACATGAGAAGTGGCACAGGAAGGCCAGGCAGAAGCAGCAGGAGCCAGATGTGTCTTGTCCCAGTGGCCTCCCAGAAGGAGGCAGGGCCAGGTCACCGACCTTACTGGCTAAGAGTTGCTCTCCAGGACCCTACAGTGGTGTGGTTATTAGTATGTGCTCCGCAGCACGTAGGCAGGGGAACTAAGTTAGCTCTGTGGGCTCTCAGCCCCACCATGGCCTTCACAGGGCCAGCTCTGGAGCCACACTCAGCAGCAGCATCGTGGTGTTTAGAGCAGGCCAGGCTCGGGTCACTGTAAAAGAAAGCTGCAGATCAGGCCAGGCCACATGGGAGCTGCTCCATCCCCTCCTGCCCTGGGGTCTTCCCAGCAATGGGAGTGGTGTCAGCCTCCCTAGGGCTCAATAGGATGTGAGCACAGAACCTCCCCTCTTCTGCATAAGTCCAGCAGTACTGACCACACCTGTCCTTCCACACCGGCTAGCAAGCAGACTCGGATGCAACTGGCAGGCACAGCCACCATTTGCCATCCATCCCAAGGTACCCAGGACTTGGCTGAGGGGAGGTGCAGACACTCACGTTAGTGCTAGCGTCTTCTAGGCTGCTGCTGTCGTTTTCCACACAAAGAGGCTCTGCTGGGGACACCCTAGAGAAAAGCACAGACTGAGTTTCACTCTGGGCTGGATGCTGGAATCTGACAGCTCCTCACAGCTGCCAGTGTGTCAGTGCTGGTTACCTGCTTGGCCAGCCAGAAGCCGAAGACAGTGAACTCTGAATGGTATGGCTGCAACCTCAGGCCTACACCCCACTCCACTGTGGCCATGTGGCTATGAGCAAGACCTTCCTGACAGCAGCCATCCACCTTCCTCATACAAGCCTACCCTGACCTGGGCCACTCAGCTACTCAGGCTCTTGACCACATCACAAGTCACCCAAGCCTAGTGCCAACAGGACACAGTGGCCCCAAGAAGAAAGCCCAGAGTCACCTGCCTTGGGAGATACATTTCTGCCCTAAGCCTAGAGCTCCTGGAGTAGGCAACAGGGGAACTGATCCCAGTGTCCCTACTCCCCACCAGCATCTTCTCCAGGGTGCAGGCCTTTAACCCCTTTAGAAGTGGATGGTACCTCCTGTGTGCAGAGCTACCACATCTAGCGTGCCCCCATCAGTACAAAGGCCAGGAGGGCACCTGGCTCTTCCCCCACACCCTACTTGAGTGGGGCCAAGCAGAGCTGCTCTCTAGACCACAGCCTAGTGAGCTGATCCTGTCAGCACAGAGCTGTCCGGTGGGTGACCTCAGGACCTACAGTGGAACTACTGGAAGGGGACAGTCACCTTCCAGTACTCTTCCATACCCCTCTGCAGGACTCAGGGTGAGGGTATAGGAGATAGTGGAAGATGCTCTTGTGAGAAGAGAGTAAGATCGAAGGAACAGGTGTGAGTCATCCCCATCCCAGGTAGGCAGGAGGCAGGCAGGAAGTGTCAAAAAGCTGGATCTCAGGGAGTTATGACCAGATGAGGCCGCTGGCCGGGTGTGCCTGTGTAGACCACAATGTATGTCCTCCACAGGACACCTTGTTGGAGTGTGTGAGTAAGAGGGTCCCTATTCTGCTGTCAAGGGGAATGGCCCGCCTGGTGGTGGTTGACTCTGTTGCAGCCCCATTTCGTTGTGAGTACGATGTTCAGGCCTTGGCCACCAGGGCCAAGCACCTGCGGTCACTGGGGACCACGCTCCGAAGACTGAGCAGCACTTTCCGGAGCCCTGTGCTGTGCATCAACCAGGTAGCTGAGGCTAGTGCGCTTTGCCCTTTGCCTTGGGAAAGCAGAACTAATTGTATGGGAGGGGAAGCGGCTGAGGTGGCTGTTGCCGCTGACCCTCACGTGGGTTTTTCCAGGTGACAGAGATGGTGGAGGAGCAAGAGTCTATGCTCAGGCCACTGGGGTGAGTATGGGCACCTCAGCATACTGGAAACTGGAGTAGGGTTAGGGATATACAAGCAGCAACACCCACTTTGTCTCTTAGGGCCTGGGACGAGCACCTCTCTCCAGCCCTTGGCATCACCTGGGCTGACCAGCTCCTGATGAGACTGATGGTTGACCGGGTCCGTGAGGATGACGCCACTATGGGCTTGCCCGGGAGCCCAGCTCGGGCTCTACGAGTGCTCTTCGCCCCCCACCTGCCCCTCTCTTCCTGTCGCTACACAGTCGGTGGGGAAGGCATTAGAGGGATACCAGGAACTGAGTCCTGCTAACAGTGGCCCAGCGGATCACCCTGACTCTGATGAGTCCTTCCAACCGTGTTAGCACCTGGTGGACAGATACCCACTGCCACTTAGCATCTGCTCTCCCTGGGATTCGCCTACTGCTGAGCCGTGGAGTTTGGCCCCACACATTGCCCTTTAGAGCAGTAGTTCTCACCTGGGGGTCAAACAACTCACAGGAGTCACCCGAGACCATCAGAAAACACAGATATTCACATAGCGATCAAAATTACAGTTATGAAGTAGCAATGAAATAACTTTGTGGTTGGGGGTCACCACAACCTGAGGAACTGTATTTAAGGGTCTCAGCATTGGAAGATTTGAGAACCACTCGCTTAGAAGATGAATGACCCACCAAGGCTCAGCTCTTGTCTCTGCCTCTGCCTGGGGCCGAGTCAGCAGCTGGCCTGGTGGGGCCTCCTCTCCTGCAGGATAGTTTTAACCCACTTAGCACACACACACACACACACAGGCAGTGATGCCCACCACTCAGGCCAAATGGGGCACACAATGAGGTACTTCCCTGCTGTGCCCCTCCACACACACATACAACATTGGGGGCAGAGCAAACAAGCTGACCCTCGTTCCAGAACAGTCTCAGGAAAGGAGGTGGGACTGGCCTAACCTGCTTGCCTCACCTTCCTTAGGCTGAGTAGCTCAGCAGACAGAAGTAACATCTGCTCTGCACCCCAGAATCACCACTTCTGGACTTGAGGCTCTACAGTCACCAAGGAAATGTGGCCTCTGAAGACAGGGCTGTGGTTTAAACCTGTCCTATGCTTCCTGGCAGCACAGGCTTCCACTAGCAAATGTGCCACATGGGCCTCACCAAGGAGTCCTGCTGCTCCAGTGTCGTGTGACTCCTCAAGCTGGGACTTACACTGTCACTGTCCCCACTCAAATAGGGGAACAGACCGCATACGGTATATACCGTGACATCTTCAGGATAGCCCCAGGCTGTATGAAGCTCATCAAAGCTGTCTGCGACCCCCACCCTTTTTGGCAATTCTGGAGCCTGAACCCAGGATCTCCTGCATGCAAGACAAGTGCTCTGCACTGAGCTACAGCCCAGCCCCAGTGCTGCCCTGAAAGGTTGAGAACACTGGCATAAATGATGGGGCACGGCTACTTGGGGTGGGAGTTTATACAAAATAGCCTCTCTGCAAAACTGGAGGGCTTTATATCAGGAAATAAAGCTTTATTTTTGTAACAAAGCATTGACAATTCTAAGTTTTCTAAATAGATTGTATTAAAAATCAGAAAACACAGTTCCAAAAAGGTACACTTAGAAGACATGCCCAATGCTCCTAGGACCTGTATCCACCAGCTAGGTCAAGGGGCCCCGCAGGTCCACCCCAACAGTGGGCCACCTGATAAACCCAGAGGATCTTTCAGTGTTGGGAACAACTTGTCCCAGCATCTCTGGGTTGACTGTAGCAGCTAGCTACCCAGACCACTGCTGCTGCTGGGTTGGCGGGCCCTGCACCTGCTCCTCCTGCATTATGCGCCATCCTACTGCTCAAGGCTGCCTCTCAGAAATGAGCGCAGATGAATGCAGGAGACACAACCTAGGTTCACATGCCCCACAGGCCTACAGGAACTATAAGCATGCATCTCTAGCAACTATTTCATATATACTACTGCACTGACTTTCTCAGGCTAGCAAGAGGCTTAAAGGGTAAAGACACCTGCAGTACAAACTGGCAACCTGAAATCACTCTCTGGAAGGAGGAGATCCATACACACAGCCATGCTTGCACACACGCTTTCTATGTAACATCCCCAGCAGTTTTCCAGAAAATTCCTGAGCCCTTCTGACACTAAACGCTTAGGACTACACCAACCCAGAAGCATTCAGTTACCTGCTGTGCCCATCACCCTTGAGCTTCCCTGCACAGCCCACAAGTCGTTGACACCCCTCTCTCGGGAGCCCTCACCATAAAAAACACGATGAAAAGGGGCAGTGGACCCCGCCTGTCTCCTGACAACATGGATGCAACTGAACCTGGCACCATGTTGACTGCATTCAAGCTCCCAGAGTGCTGCTCTGCAGTACAGTGCCCAACTGGTCAGCCATTCCATTTGCTCCAAGGTTCTCTACCTTCTGCAGGCTTGGGTTCCAGGAGGCCAATACCCACCTGGCTTTCCCTGACATCTGAGGGACTCGCAAGAGTTTTCCCTGCTTAACCATCTCCCCAGTCCCAACCTGATGCTTTCCCTAGAACAGGGTCTCACTTGTAAGCCTTGGTTGGCCTCTGCTCCTGAGTGTGGGGATTAAAGTACACCACCATGCCTGGCCTAAGAAATCTGTAACTGGTTGTGATCAATTAGTTTAAACACCACTGTATGCAGACCAGCCCGAAAACCTCATGTTTTATAAAGAACTGTGCAATTCTTCGGACCAGCATTAGGTTGAGTCAGAAAGTGTCAACAGCCTGAAGGCTGCATCCAGCTGCCCTGATCAGGGCCACAGATTCCCGGGCCCTGTATTCTCTCAACTTCAGGTTAGTCTCGCACGCTGCCTCAGAATGATCTGAAATTCTTGTCAGACGCACCCATGAGAAACCTGTGTACTCAGCATGCAGGGTCGCAGGACAGGGGTCTAGGGCACTCGCACAGCACCCACCCCCACAGGGGACCCCACAGGTGTCTGCGGAGCCCTGGGGGAAGCAGCTCCCCTGAGCATTGCTTCTCCACCCCTTCCCTCCACACTCTAGGCTTGACAGACAGACCATTGTGAGCTCCTGGTCAGAAAACAAACATTTTAAGCATCTGACTCTTGACAATTTTTTCACAATATTTATACTTTAAATAGATCTAGATGTCAGACAGGGTGGGTGGCAGAAGTCACACACAGCAACAAAGGCCGAGGCCACCAGATGCAGCCTGGCTTGCCTCCCTGGCCACACACTGCTGGCTCTGGTCATTAGAAGGTCCAGGGCACAGGTGCAGATCAAGCAACAGAATTCTGGGGCATGGCTGCCAGGCACTTTTAAAGCAACAGCCTGCAGATATTGATGGATGTCCCCATTGAGAAAGAAAGCCCACTCCTACCAAAGGGTAAGCTCCCCTCCTGGGCAGACTGGGTGTCAGCATCCCACTCCTCTCAGAGATCCTATCTAGTTCAGCCCCAGTCTCAGTGGGCTACATCAGTGTGGCTGGCACTCAGTGCTCTCAAGTCTGCCAGACAATTATTTCATTCCTGTGTGAAAACGCAAATGGAAAATTATATTTAACCACACTTCTAAGGAGGTCACCCTCAAGCAATGATATGCATAGGAAACACTGGGGTTTACAGGTGTAGCTCAGTGTGTGGGTGCAGCTCTATAGGGTGTATATCCTCATATCCCAGCACCAGGAATCAATCCTTAGCCCCTACACCACCCGGTGCCTTAAGTGGGGCTAGGGTAGCAGCTGGCACCTTATCAGTTGAATTCGGGTCACTAAGAGAGCTGTGGCCTCAGGTGGGATGAACAAGGACTAAGCTCCACATGCCAGCATGTCCTTCACAGGAAGTCACAGCTGCTCCAGCTGTCCAGTACGCTCAGAGCACCAAAGAGCACCCAAGAGGGCAGGTGCCAGGACCACTAAAGTGATGGCAACACCCAGATGCCAATCCGGATGTCTCGGAGACAGGGAAAGCACAACGCCATTCTGGCTGCAGAGGGAGACGAAGCTCTGCATTAAGCTGAGACAAAGCCTGGCATTTGCGGGAGGCTGCACCGGGAACAAGGCATCCCAGTGACAGCAATCACACACATTTTAATCATACAAGGAGACTGCCCCAGCTGTGACACTACTTCAGTGACTTCGGTACTTAGCTCAGACTATTCTTAAAGATAACCACATCTGGTACTCTGGGGGCATTACCAGTGAGTGACATGCAGTGAGGTACTGCATATAAGCCCATCACAGTGGAGCATGCTCAAGGGCGGTGGCTAGGGCACAAGCAGGACAGGATCCTTACTTGGAAGCAATCTTCTGTGGCTTTGCCTACTACATAAGAACACCAGAGATTTTCTTTTGGCTGGGCAGTGGTAGTACACACATCTAATCCCAGCACTTGGAGTCAGAGGCAGGCGGAGCTCTGTGAGTTCAAGGCCAACCTTGTCTACAATAGAGCTAGTTCCAGGAAAGCCAGGGTTACAAAGAGAAACCCTGTCTCAAAAGAAGAACAAAAGAAGGAAGGAAAGAGGAGAGGGAAAAAGAGCATTCAGAGAACTGACAAGCTTCATGCTGCTGGACCAGGATATGCAAGGACAAACCCATGAGCACATTGTTGACCAAAGTAGGATCACGCTAAAGTGATCATCTCGCTCTTGGGGATGCTGGGGACCACAGGACTTGGACAGTGGGCCTTTCCCTCACTTGGCCTGAACATGCATGTCCTTTAACTAGATTTAGTGCCCAGGGGAAATCCCAGCATTTCTCTGCATATTTTACAGCATTAATTCTTCTTAAATGCAGCAAATACTACTACCTTCTGAACCTGCCTCACCAGGGCAGGAAGTCTGCAGCCTGTCAGGTGAGCCTGGGGCTCTCAGAGGGCCTATTACCACAGCACAAACTCTAGGCTCACTGTGAGGTCCAGATGCATAAACATATTCCATAATTTTTGGTAAATTAATAGGAAAAGCAGTTTAACTATTAGCAAGAAAAACTGTAAAGTCTTTTTTCTACTGAGAGGCCAGGTGTGTGGTGCATTCCTTTAATCCCAGCACTCAGAGGCAGAAACAGGTGGATCTCTGGAGGTTGAGACCAGCCTGGTCTACAGAGTGAGTTCCAGGATAGCCTGGGCTACACAGTGACCCTGTCTCAAAAAACAAAGCAAACAACAAACAAAAAAGCTTTTTTTTTTTTTTTTTTTTTTTTTTTTTAGGAAAAGCAATTGAACCCTGAGGCTGGGCATGGCACGCACACCTACAGCCCCACGGTCTTGAGTGTGGACTACACACACCTCAAGTAAACACAGAAGCCAGAGACAGACATAGTAAACACAGGCTGGCCCTGAGGCCTGGGCTCACAAGACCTCCAAAGATGGGGATGAAGACCAGGACACAGCCTATGGGTCAAAGATGCTATGCACTGACCACAGCAAACAGCTAGCTCTGTTCGAATCTACTGGAGCAGAAGCTTGAGGACCAAACGAAAAACCCCCGTTTCCACACAATCAAATGCTGCTGGAGATCTGACAGGCTGCTGCGCTGTCTGCTTTCTGAGGTTCTTTGAGACAGGGTTTCTCTGTGTAGCCCTGACTGTCCTGGATCATACTCTGTAGTGAAATAGGATTAATTTTGTGGTTTGGACTGAGGCCTGGAACTCATTGAGTGGAGCAGGATGGCCTTGAACTCCAGAGGGCTGGGTTCAAAAGCCTTGGGACCACACCCAGCCCAGCTGCTCTCAGTGAAGGCCAAAGAAAGCTGCACCAGTTTGTCTCTCAGTTTCCTCTTTCCTCCTAAGACACGGCAGCAAAGTGGCCCCTATGCAGCCTGTCTCTGATCCCCTGGAAACTACTAGGCTCTAAGTGTCCCAGCGCAGGCAAGCATGGACGCTGGAGCTAACAAGAGACACCTCAGTTTCACATGTCATATAGCACAAAACCCAAGTCACTGAGAAACATCAGCACAGAATGTGGACTTGTACCTCACAGTCTGGCTGCTTAGGGGCCACAGCATTAAACCACCCCACTCTGTGAGGTGTGGCCACACACTGCTGCTGGTTGTTAGCACGGTAAGCCATAGGAAGATGGAAAAGAGGAAACTCCCAAGCACTCCCTCTTGAGCAGGGCATTCCGGAACTGACTTTGCACACTAAGAGTTTCAGTCAGAGGAACAGAACTGTTACTCAGGCCAGGTTTGGGGTGCAGACCGGCAATCCCAGCTATTCAGGTGCCTGGCAAAGGAGAATCACAAATTCAAAGCTTACCTGGCTCAAAATTAAAATAAAAGGGGGGCTGGAGAGATGGCTCAGTGGTTAAGAGCACTGCCTGCTCTTCCAAAGGTCCTGAGTTCAATTCCCAGCAACCACATGGTGGCTCACAACCATCTGTAATGAGGTCTGGTGCCCTCTTCTGGCCTGCAGACATACACACAGACAGAATATTGTATACATAATAAATAAATAAATGTTTAAAAAAAATTAAAATAAAAGGTTAGCCAGCCCTGTTAGGTCTGAGGTAGTCCATATATCTAGGAAGGAGCTCAAGCTGGACTATAGGAGGATTTCTGGTCACTAGATAAAAGCCGGCATTCCTCAGGAACTTGAGAAACTGGTTCCCATCTGCCAAAAGGAGTCACTTCCCTCACCTCTGGCTCAGGGACACAGGACTACCTGTGTGGTGCCTATGAGCTTCTCAAAGCCCATGCTGGTATCCAGGCTCCCTCAGAACCACAAGACGCTCCACAGCTACCCATCCTCCTTACAACGGGCATGATCTGTCCACCATGGAGCCCCCTCTCGGCCTCACTATCTCCACTACTCTCTCCTCTCCCGATGCCCTGGCCCTGGCCATGTCCAGCCCATTTTCATTTCTCCCTGCTCTGGGTTCTCCCAGATGCCTCTTGGTATTTTCTCTTTCATTCACAATAGAAACCTTCCCCCTAAGAATGTAGCCATCAAGTCAGCAGTTTCTTTGCTACGCCCCTCACATACAAGCTCAAGAGTGGGGCATTTGCGCTGCAAAAATGTGACCCTGGATTCTACCCGTAGTACTCTGGCCAGTCTGAGAGAAGCAGCCTAGCAGCCACCGGGCTCCCTCTCAATGCTTGAAGAAATGCTTCACACGACAGACACTGCCTTGCTGACCCTACAGACATTTAGAAGCCTGGGTAGTCAGAGCTCTTCATCCCAGAAGCAGCTAGCATGGGTCCCCTCACAGGCAGAGGCCAGCACAAAGTCGTCTGCCCCACAGACTTCCAGGTCCAGTGTTCAGACAATGGCTCTTCCAGGTGTTCACAATGGCATGAACGCCTTGGAGCCTCTCCAGGGGCAGATGGCCAGCATACAACCACGAATAAGAACCAATGTGTGCTCCCGGCTCAGGCCCCCCTGTCTCCCAGAATCCACTATGAACCCAAACAGACTCTGGAGGACACTGGCCAAGAATGTAACACAGGCAGCCCAGCGCCCTGCTGAGGGCCACGCGGGGAGTGGAATCGGACCCTAACCTAATGGCACCGAGAACGAAAGTGGGCACTTTCAGAAGGCACAACAGAGCGGCAGGAAAACACTTCAACTCCCAACATGTCCAAAGCCCTAACTCAGAGTGGAGCCTGAGGGTCCCGACTGACAGCTTTGAAACTGCACCCCTAAATCAGCATCCTGAAGTCTGGGGTGCAGAAAATGCTGACAAGGCTCCAGAGAATGTCCCCAAGTGAGGGGCAGCAGGCACCACAGAGACAAGGCACGGGTAGCTTGTCATAGAGCAGCAGAGTCCCAAGTCCCCTGTGAGCCACTCTCTGGCAAATCCCCTTGACAACGTGGACAGCACCAGCTGAAGCCCTGTGATGTCCACACCTTTCCTTCACCAGGGAAGCCCGGAGGTTAGAAAAGCTGCAAAACCACAGAACTCAAGCATCATCCAAAACCACTCTTTCCCCAGAATCCCTGCCCGAGTTGATGTGATCACTGCTTCCACGCGGAAGGCGCGTTTGAGGAGTAAAGCCAATGCCCACTGGGAAGAAATGATACCGTGGACTCTCTGTCGACTCAGCAGCTGTTGTAGGCTGTGTGAGCACATCACAGTGTGGGTGTTCTCTCCTTTGTATGCGTGTGTGGGGTCCCCAGGTCACCTTCAGGTGTCTTCCTGTCACCCCCTAGCTTGTCTGAGACAGTCTTTGAACCTGGAGCAGGCCATTTTGGTGACTGGTTGGCCAGGACACCTCCCGGGTCCAATTTTCTCTGCCTACCCCAGTGTGGGGGTTACACACATATCACCATGCCCCCCCCCCTTTGCGTGGATGCTGGGATCTGAACTCAGTTCCTCAGGCTTGAGCAGCAAGCACTTTACTCACCTAGCTGTTTTCCCAGACTGGTTTTCTTTTTAGTTGTGTGTATATGTATGTGTGTACACACACATCTGTGTGGAGGCCAGAAGACAACTTGGAGTCAGTTCTCTCCTACTGTATGGCTCCTGAGGGTTGACAGGCCTGCTGGCAAGCCTTTAACCCCTAATCCGTTTTCACTTTTGGAGTCTCACTGTCCCCTCTGATGGCCTCTCGAATGCTAAGATTACAGGCATGAACCGCTATGCCTGGCTCACTTGTCACCAAAGAGGCTTTCTCTGAACAGAATCGAGGTGCTCCACCAGCTCCCTCTGAATCCTAGGGCCAGCTTCCCAGCTGCTTCTCAACCTGCCCTGGAAAGGAGTAGGCAGAGTACACACACCATCCTGAGACCAAGGAAGTCTGCTCTGCGGCTATGGCGCAGTACAGCATGCTGGCAGGAAGAGGGCGCTGAGGAGATAGTTACCCAGGGTTCCTTGGCTCACTGTCCCGTGCACTTCCTCCCTTCAGCTTCCTAACCAGCTTCTCACTGCTCCGTCTAATGGAAGCCCGGAGTTTGCTAAAGGAGCCACTGCGCTTTAAAGATCCAGTGCCATCCTGAAAAACACGTGAACAAGTGTGAAGCTGTGGGTGTTCCCCCCTTACCCATGCTCAGCCCAATGACCCCAACTGCTGCCAGGCACTGGCTGGCGTGTGAGTCCTGCCGAAGCCACCAGACTGCCATGTGCATGAACCATGAACCCATTGAAAACACCCATGATCAGAATCCTCTGAAAATGAGGAGTCCCAGCAGAAGCAGCCACATTCCCAAAGGAGCGTGAGCCCACTGCCATCTTAGGACAAAGGACAGTACAGGTCAAGAGAACTAAGGCATCTTCCAGGACTGTCTGCCAAGTGTAACTCCATGCTGCATGAACATGTGTGCACCCGGCAGGAAGATGGCCAGGATGCCACACCTCATGAAGGAAGACAGTGTCCTCCTAACAGACTCACCTACGCAGCAAATTTTAAATGTCAAATCTAATGTAGCTGCAAGTTGTTTAATTGGATGCTCATTTTTATACAAATCCTAAAGCACTGGGATACCTGTGGGAAGTGAAAGAGTAAGCAGCTGTGCCCATAACCAAGCAGACACTACAGAGATGCTTGGCAGAGCCTGGACATGAAGTCCGTGCAGAGTGGGCCCTGCGCAGAGCAGCATCTATCCCAGAGCCACCCTCAGGGAATCTCAAGAACCCAGTGCCGCCAGAGGCCACGCAGCACTGCGTCCCAGAAGACTGAGAAGGTACAGAGCAGACAGACGCAAGACACAGGTCAGTTGGAGTGAGTTTATTAGAAGTTAGAAAGACACAAATACACACATCACAGAGCACTTTAAGATTAGTAGAGAGAAGCAGAAATGCCAAAATTCCACACCAAGACTACAGAGCAATCTACTTCAGTGTGTCCTGGGAGGCCTGTGCAGGACACTGGCCAGGTCTGTAAGTGCGACAGGGACGTGCGGCACATGCCTTGCTCCTACAGCTCCGTGACTGCACAGTCACTATCATACCACTGTAATATCCGGGTGACATTAACACCTGTCATGGGTGGACAACTACTCTCTCTTAACTGTTAAACTTGCGTGTTACACAGTAAATGGGTTTATTAACACAGCTGATATCTCTAAGTACATATCTGGCAAAGCTACATGTATCCAGAAATCAAGACCCCAAAAGGACAGCAGCACCGAAAGGAATGGCCAGTCCCAGAGGTGCGGCTGACAAGCTCCTAGGGGCTGCTAGACACAGCGGGCAGCACTGGAGGGGCTGGAGGAGGCGCTGCCCGTCATGCAGGAGCAGTGCGGGAGGCACCGGGAGGGCGGCTAGGCCTGTCAGACAGAAAGAGAGAAGCAGGTGAGGCGGGAGGAGCACGGCAAGGCAGGACCCGCCCCCAAGCCCGCTCTACAGTATTTCTAGGTCACAGATCTCAGGGGCATGAAGCTCAGTGGCCCGGGCACTCCCTGCTCTACCAGGCTGGCACAGCAGGTGCTGGGCCCAGGGTGTGTGAGGGATCGCAGGCTAGCTTTCTGTAACTGTCGAGAGTGAAAGTCAACATTTTTCGAGCACAGACTGGCACTGTGGTAGAATCTCCTCAGCACTTACTATGGAGAGTTTCACAAGTTATTGGACATGAGGGAGATTTGGTGGGGAAGGACAGGAAAGGCCAAATGTGGAAGACACCATTGAAACTTCTCCTGTCTTGCAGCTTTCTCTAAATGTCACGAGCTCCCCGCAGTCTGGCGAATTTCAGTCTCTTAAAAACACTAACACCCTAGAATCTCGAGAACTTTAAGACTCAGTGACTTTAGAAGTTGGCAGCACATTTGAAACATGCAGTTGATGATCTGAATAAAAACTGCTCCTGGGGCCGCCAAAATCTCAAAAGGTGCAGAGAGCCGGGCCTGGCCTGCCCGCTCGGACTCACCATGGAACGCTGAGCAACTCACTTAACCAGCCCGAGCTTCATCTTTCTCATCTTTAAAATGGAAAAATAAAACTTGTTACCAATGCCTCATGAATGCCAGGGGACAAGAAAACATCAGTTCCCACTGTCTGTCCTGAGAAGGATGCTAAATGTTACATGTTCCCACACAGCATGATCCTCCTGCCCTTGTGGTCTGCACCCCATCGCAAGATGCTGGCCACCTCCCTGGGTTCAAATGGACGACAGTGAACTCTTTCTCAGCCACTCCACCTGTACGCTGAAGTGGCAGGCACGTCTAGGCTGGGTAAAACTCAAGCAGACAGATACCCCTGAGCATAGCTCAGGGCTCGGAGGACCACTCTATTCTTACACTCTGCAACTACAAGACATTCGTATTGCATAAACCCTTTTTAGGTTCGCACTTATTGTGTGTGTGTGTGTGTGTGTGTGTGTGTGTGTGTGTGTACACTCACACGTAAAGTGCATGTATGGAGTTCAGAGGATAACTTCTCCACCATGTTAGTCCTGAGGATTAAATTCAGGCCACTTGAGTGGCAAGTGTCTTTACCCACTGAGCGATTTTGCAAGCTCTCAGATAAGTCACGGAAGACGCTGACTTTAGTATTACCTCTGTGCAGTAGAACTGTAGAGAGGGTACTTCTATAACTTCTTTTAGTATATTCTAGTTGCCTCCTTAGCATAACTTTTCATAAATAAAGATCTACTCTGAATTAACAGTTACCTCATTTCCTAATAACCTTCAATAAGAATTTAGTAATTAAAACTGTGAAAGTCAAGCCTGGTGGCACATGTCTTTAATTCCAGAATTCAGGAGTCAGAGGCAGGCAGATCTCTGTGTTCCAGCCAACCAGAGCTACACTGTAAAACCTTTTCTCAAAAACCAACAAAACAGGTGGCGCACACCTTTAATCCCAGCACTCGGGAGGCAGACACAGGTGAATCTGTGAGTTCGAAGCCAGTCTAATCTACCACATATTGAGTTCTAGGACAGGCAGGGCTACCTAGAGAGACCCGATCTCAAAAACAAATGAACAACATGTAGAGGACAGGCAGTGATGGCGCCACCTGTAATCCCAGCACTAGGGAGGCAGAGGCAGGCAGATCTCTGTGAGTTCAAGGCCAGCCTGATCTACAGAGTGAGTTCCAGGACAGCCAGGGCTACACAGAGAAACCTGTCTCAAGAAAACAGCAAAAACAAACCAACATCTAGAAGTCAGGCACTGTGGTACAGGTCTATGATCCCCATGGCTGGGATGCTAACACATGAAGAGCAGGAGTCTGAGACCAGTCTAGGTCACATAGTAGCACCCTGTCTCAAACAAAACAGTAATACTGGCAGGATACAGCTCAGTCATAGAGCCCCTCCTTCCATGTGATGATTTAATCTTCAGTACTGAGCAGCGGGCGTGTGCACGTACTCACACTCTCGCGCTCTTTCTCGTGCACACGCGCACACACACACAAACAAACACGGTCACACGCACGCACACATGCGCACTGTAGAAACCTCGTCACAAGAGCAATGTGAAATTAAGAGGAGATGGACAAGAGACTCCTTCTTAGGAGCCCAGGAAAAAAGGGCAGCAAGCTGTCCTTAGGAGCTCAGGGTCCACAGAGAAGTAAAGCACGTGGTGCTGCACCTGTGACCATCAGGACGACGTCAGCAGGATGACTTTATAAAAGGCAGCTCAGTGCTGCTCCATGTCAGCTGGAACCGAGTGCCCATGATGACAGACACGGAATCCCACAGATAGAGGCTAAAATAAGGAAACTTACTTCTACCTAGGAAAGGGTATGTGGCCACAAAATGCCTACTTTCTTGGAAATGCACCCTACTAGAGATGACTTGCTATGGCAGTATCTGACAGAGCCACAGCTCATATCTCAGTAAGCCTGAGGGAGCCCCGTTTTCGTGAAGTGCCATCACCATCACCATGACATACGCTGGTGAGGAAGACCTGTACTCCCAGACAGGTCTCCTGCAGGGTCAAGAGCCTGGCTTAAATTGGCCTAAGAACCCTCCGTGTCTTCATGCCTCGCTCTCCTCCTCTGCCAGCACATGGGCCAGCTCCTGCAGAGCCATGGTTAATACCCAGCAAGCCTTGATTTGACAAATGTTATCCTGCTTTAAATGCTACTTCTGAATGTTGAGGAACAGCTTCCTGTGGCTCAATCACCATTGTGTTCCTGGGAGCACACTGTGGCTAATGTAACTGCCTGAGGGAACAGAGGATGGAGCAGTTCAGTATTTTAAAGAGCACTGGAATCTTTTAAAACCTACAATTTTAGCCAGGTGGGGGTGGTCCAAGCTTTTAATTCCAGCACTTGGGAGACAAGAGGCAGGCAGATCTCTGAGATCAAGGCCAAACTGGTCTATGTAGCAAGTTTCAGGCCAGCCAGGGCTACATAGAAAATATGACTACGGGACAGCATATGATACAGCTCAGCGGGAGGGACTTACCCAGCATACGGATGCCCTACAGTCAATACCCAGTAGCATAAAAATAAAAAAATGAAACGAAGTATGATTTTAAGCTGAGCATATTGTGCACATATATTGAGTATATTAATCCCAGAAGGCTGAGGATTCCAAATTCAAGGACAACTTGGACTATATACTAAAATTCAAAATAAACAAGGCTATGGACAGAGCTCAGTGACAGAACATTTGCCTAACATGCATGAAGCCCTGAGTTCAATCCCAGTGTACACTTGTGTATGCCGTGTGTGTGTGTGTGTGTGTGTGTGTGTGTGTGTGCGTGTGTGTGCGCGTGCACACACACACAGCAGGGACAGGAGCATGAGGAAGAAGAGTCCGCTCTGAGAGAAGCATTGCTCTACCACAGCCTGGTGGGGAAAAGTCCCAAGTGCCCTCCCCTGCAGGGAAAAAGCATCACCACTTCTTTCCCGTGTGTCCTCAATGCAGATGTGGACTCTAGTCTGTTGACAATGTCATTGACATAGGACTCACAT